TTTTCTCACTGACATTATAACTCATGAATAATACAAAATTGATTATTCATATTAACATCTTAAACCAGACAAGTATCTTAATTGAGACATAACTTAATAGGAAAAAAAAGTAAACAACCAATAGTATAGCTAAGTAGATATAGATACCTTCAATGGATTTGGCGAGGCCATCAAACTTGCTAACAGTGGAATGATGGAGGTCTTCTCCAGACCAATTTGGAAAGAACAATAAACTCATTAGCAAACAGATTGCACACCCAATGGCTATAGTGTAGACCCGTTGTTGGGCCATTTTGAGTATGTGCTCCACCCGATAACTCGAAACCGTGATTAAGTTGAATGTCAACATGAATATCACCAACCCATAGTCGTAATGTTTCCTTATGTACGGAAAAAATCTCATGTATGTTGTTATTGCTCCTGCAATAATATATCTTAATTATGTTTTTGGACATTTATTTCAATGCTCAAATAAGAATCATTTGTATTTTTAGCCTCATGTTTAAAACTTTTAAGATAAACCAACTGTCAAAAGCAATACATAGTAGTTTTCAAAGCCGTACATTAAGTTTGAGCAAAACTTACATAATGTGCATGAGGAGATCGAATAGTCTCCTCTTTTTATATATAAAGGAATTGCTCAAAATTAGGAGCAAAAATATGTAACATTGTGGATTAAAATATGATTAAATATGTCTTCTTCTCGAAATAGCAATAACTTATGAGGTTTTTCTGAAATATTACTCATATTCAGCTCTTGGACAAAAATGTGATTAAAGTTATCATGAGTGTAAAGTACGTGTAAATTAAAATTGAATATGTCTATAGTAACTACCAATATAGTAACTACATAGAGGAGGTCACATTATTTCCATCATCTTGATTTTAGTAATATTTACATAATTATTTCATTATTTAGTCTTACTAAAAGAGTAAAAGAATAAAAAAAATGTCCAACCAGAAGTGAACGAGTCTTATTTGAAAAATTGCTATATTTTATTTATATTTAAGAAATTTTATCTATCTATTTATATAGTATGAAAACTATATTTATTATTATTACCGAGTATGAAAACTATAGAACCAATAAAGATAGCCCGGAAAATCCCATCACATTCGGTGGTAATATACTCAATGAAGAAGGCCAGCAAACCGGCCATCAACGTTCCCAATCCTCTATTCAATCCTTTGTACAATGTTGCCCCTACACAATTCTCAAATAAATTCATTTCATAAATAAGACATCTGAAATATAGTACCTACAACTTTATTTGTTTTCATAAAATAAAACGAAATCGCAACTATGGAGATATATTCTTTGTAACGATAAATAATAAATAATTAAAAAACACCCCATTTTGATCAATTAAATGACGGCATTTTTTATTTAATTTGTCCAAACAAATTTTACATAAAAGAGTGACCTACAAGTGCTTGTGTTTTACTCATGTTTTAAGACCAACACTCCCCGATCCAGAGTCCTCCACATGTATACAACATGCATGGTGCATCTAGGCAAGGGGCGGAGCCAGAGCACTGGACCGCACTGGGCCGATACAAAGAATATTTTTGAAAAAAATTACAACAGAAATTTATACACTAAAAAATAAAGTATTTTTAAAATTTGTGGTGGGCCAGGGCCTAGGTTGGTCCACCCCTAGCTTCGCCCATACATCTAGCATAACCCTAGACATGTTAGTTCATGTGATGCACTCGAGATGGACAATATTTTTTGTACATTGATTTGTTTGATCCATCAATCAAGATGCCAATTTTATGAGACTCAAGGTGGCATATGTTTTGAAAGTAGATAAAATGCCAATATAATATAGGTAGATTCTATGGTACTCCAAATGTACCGTACCTTCGTCCAAATGGACCAATAAGAATGATGCAGTTGAATTATTTAAATCTAAACTAAAGGACCAATCAAATGCATGGTAGGTACGATACCCCATTTTTTAAATGGGTACCAGAGTTGTCACCTATAATATATTTTCTGTAAGTCAATATTTCCAATAAAGTGTCCTTCAAGATGACATTTGTTTTGTGTCACCATTTTGTGATGTCATTATTGCTTCGTGATGAATTTGATATGATGATGACAGATGACGATATTATGAATTGATAATTTTAGTATAATGTTATAATGACGACGTTCTTGTTTCACAAGACTTAATCATAGGGTCAAAAGATAATTCACGTTTTATAACAAGCTAAGTGCATTTCTGATGTTTAGTGTGTTTTTACTTGGACTATTTTTAGTCCGAGACATGAACAGATCGGACTTAAATAAACCAGATCAAATCAGACAAAATTTAAATAGTTATAAAATACACAAAGATCAAACATTTATCAGAACAAACCAGATCAGACCAGAATCATAGCAGCAAATTCAATCCAAGTAAAAACATGGTGACTCTCAATTTTACTGCTACTAGATAATATGGAAAAATCACGGTTTCGTGCATATTTTCATTATAACCCCCGTGCTCTAGTCCTATTTGAGTGATTCTCTACCCAATATATAATCTTATCTCAAATAAAGTAAAAATAATTTAGAGTCACACAAACTTTACCAAATTTGATATGAGACAATCGTAGTGGAATTTCCTAAAAATGAAAAACGAGATAATCTTAGAGAGACCAAGAGAGTATTTACCGGCGGTGAATTCTAGGACGACAACAACGGTCATGACAGCCCAAATGGCGTTCTGACCCACTTCCTTGAACAATGGCTCCAATAGATACAGCAGAGACACCAACGTTAATGATAACCCAACTTTGACGGCGTGAATTAATCTCCGGGGATCTTCCCGTCCCACACTCACAAACCTCTCCCACGTTAACCCCGGCATCCTCTTCGCTCTCTCTCCCAGATTCTGTGTCTGTTTCTCAACCATTGAGCTCATCATTTCCCACCACTTCATATATGTACTTCTCCACGTAAATTTTACTACATATGATGAAATATTTAATAATGCTTGAAGTACTGTTTAGCTAGCTAGAGACCATGCATGCAAGGCCTGATATATAGATATATATGAATTTGTATTGTTAATTTGTACTAAAAAATTATACTACTACGTAGTATTTAACAATAATTGGAGGTTTTGTGTACTGATGTACGTGGCACATCTAGGCTTTGACACAAAATAAATAAATACGTAGTAAAAGAGAGAGGCTAGGTTAAGTTAGTTGTAATTTGATGTGCTCACATGATTATAAACAAAGTTGATTGATAAATTAATTGGCTTCACAAGAACATAAATACGTAGTATATACGGAGTACAACCTAAGTCAACACGGAGATAAGAGGAGGATCGATCGGACCTATAATAGATCATGCATCAAATAAATATGGATTGATTGGTTTTGCCGGCTGGAAAAGGTAATCAGAAGTCAGAACTAATTGTGACGGTAAATAGTGAGAGAGATCACTGCAAATTTATACTCCCCGTCCCTTTTTAAATGTCCCGTTTTATCATATTGGGATGTCCTTATTTAATTGCCCCATACCTTATTTGGTAAACTTTGTGTGGCTCAAAATCATTATTACTTTATTCTTACTTTATCAATTAATATCAACCACACAAACTCACTTTTCTTAAAACTCGTGCCACCATCTCTCGTCCCATTTAAAAGGGGACGGAGGGAGTACTCAATTCAGTCCCTCCTTTCCTTGTTGGGTAGTCCTTGAATTAAGTTCTACTTTCCTTATTTGACAAATCAATTACATCAAAACAATGTCAAACTGTGCTAAACAGTGCCAAACAATATCCAAAATGTGCCAAACAGTATCCAAACAATAAAGTTTATCCCAGCAATTTTTTTTCCTTAACAAGTGTGAAAAGCAATGGGGAGCTTAATTAGGGGACGGAGGGAGTATGTCTGTTGAAGACAGAGTTACCAAATAGACTTTGGTTATGTTTGGCATAACGAGCTGTAGCTGGAGACTAATAATGTTTGAACTAGAGACTATTGTCTGGAGCTGAACTTTGAAAGTTCTGAATCTAAATAACTAAGTGAATGAAGGAAACTCGTTCACTACATAAAGCTGAAAAAGTGTCAGAATAATATGAAATTACATTAAAGGACATATGATTTATAATTGAACAAAATATTGAAGTGCTGAGTTTGAACTGTTGAGGATGAATTATTGATTAAAAATAATCAGTAATATCGAATTTATATATTTTAATAAACTCATAAAAAATTGAAATCGCATTTTCTTAAAAACGTACATAAGAGCTCTAGATTTTTTATTCCAAGAATCACCATTTAAAAAAAACAAATAATATGAAACATGTATGTAGACATCTTTATTGGATTGAAAATAAATTCTTTTCAGGGGACAAGTTAACCGCACATGAGCATCGAAGTGTGTTTGAAATTGATGTATTCCTAAATGCAAGATGTAGGAGCAATTTAGGAAGCAGAGACGGTCGACTGTATGAAACGCTACATGTGGGCTATGTTTGGCATAATGAACTGAAGGTTAATGTTTGAATTAGGGGTTGTTGTCTGAATAAGAGACTATCGTCTGGAGGTGAATTTTGAAGTGCTGAATCTAAACTGTTAACTGAATTAAATAAACCCGTTTGGCAAACGAGCTGAAAAAAGTGTCGGATAACATGAAATTACATTAAAGGACATATGATTAAAAATGAATAACATACTAATCCATATAATGATTTTATATTTTATTAAATAATAAATAAAGTACAACGTAATATTTTGGGTCACTGTTTTTGTCCTACAAATTCCAATTAGTCAAAAAAAAAAAGAACCATCCAGACCATGGTATCTTTGAAGGATTTGAAGGATGAATCGCCTTTTAGATTCTACTCTATGTTAGAACATTTGTTTGTATTACGGGATATACTATATTATTTATGTTAAGCAAATAACTTGTAATTATTTCTTTTATTATTTGTGATTGTTTCCTTTTAGAAAGGCTATTCTCTTGTATCGGTTCTTCTCCTATTTAAAGGATTGGCCGCAGGGTTCAAAGTAGAACAAGAATAATAATAAAGTTGATTTTATTCCCTATTATTTCCCTACGATCTGTCATGGTATCAGAGCGTTAAACCGCTGCCATGGCCAATGACGAAGATGACGCTGCCGGGCAGCCACCGGCGAAGATAGACCACAACTCGCCCTATTTTTTGGGGCCGCAAGATCGTCCAGGCGACTCCATTACCCCGGTGCGGCTGAATGGAGATAACTATGACAATTGGGCGAATGCGATTCGATTGGCGTTGCGTGCTAGACGGAAATATGGGTTCGTTGATGGCACCATCACCAAACCCAAACCGCCATGTACGGAGGATGATTGGATTACGATTCACTCTATGTTGGTGTCCTGGATCCTCAACACCATCTCTGCGGATGTGAAGAATACTATGTCTATGTATGATAATGCACAAGCTCTGTGGGATGATCTCCGAGAACGTTTTTCAGCCGTAGACGGCCCGAAATTACACCAAGTCAAAACTGATTTGGCAAGGTGTACACAGGCCAAAGGAATGTCAATTGGTATGTATTATGCCAAATTGAAAATTCTGTGGGATGAATTAAACAATCATGAACCAATAATTGAATGTAAATGTGGCCGTTGCACTTGTAACGTGGGAAAGCAACATGAAAAACGCAGGGCAGATGAACGTTTTCATCAGTTTCTTATGGGACTAAATGCTGAAATTTTTGGTCCTATTCGGTCACAGCTTCTCACGCAGGTTCCACTTCCGACTCTGAATCGCGCATATCAACACACCGTGCAGGAAGAACGCGTGAGGGGCATGACTGCTGGTTCGGAAACACCGGATATTCTCGGTTTTGCTGTCAAAACTGATGGACGTGCATACGGGCGCGGAACTAAAATTGACAAGACCGGCTTAGTTTACTCTTACTGCAAATACACCGGCCATGATGTGAATAGCTGCTTCGAGCTAAAGGGGTATCCTGATTGGTGGGGGGATAGACCCAGGGCCGACACTAAAAATGCAGGTCGCGGCAAGGGAATACCGAAGGGGACTGGACGAGACAAATCGATGGCTAAAGCTCACGCAGCAGTGGCAGACACCATTCTGCCACACGAACCAGCCGCATGTGATAAAACAGCAGGTACACCATTGCCTGGGTTCTCCCCAGAGCAATGGCAGGCTTTGATAACGGCCTTTGGTAACCCACAATCATCGTCTGGTCGCATGGCAGGTAATTTTTCCACCGGCACTTGGATCATAGACACCGGCGCTACAAATCACATTTGTAGTGATTTAAATCTTCTATTTAAAACTCAGAACATAACTCCGTGTTCGGTTGGATTGCCCGATGGAAAAACGGTTCAAGCTACTAAAGAAGGATGTGTTAAATTTTCTAATGGATTATGTTTGCAACACGTCCTATTTGTTCCTCAAATGAAGTGTCATCTTATTTCGGTGACTCAATTAAATGATGCGCTTAATTGTTTTTTTTTCAATTTTCCTCTGACTTGTGTGTTATACAGGACCGAGTATCGAGGAAGCTGATTGGAACGGGTGAGAGGAGAAATGGGTTGTACTATCTTCAAGACTCACCTACTGCCCGCATTTTGACAGTTGCAAGTAGCAAAAATTCTATCTTTGATTTATGGCACAAACGGCTGGGACATCCATCTGGCAATGTGATGCGTTGGTTAGCACCAGTAAGTGATTTAAGGGGCTCTTTTAATTCCGCATGCGACGTTTGTTTTAGGGCCAAGCAGCACCGGGCTTCGTTTCCCATTAGTAGTAATAAAACTCATGATATTTTTGAGTTAGTCCATTGTGATTTGTGGGGTCCCTATCATACTCCATCTTCTTGTGGTGCAAAATTGTTTTTGACTATTGTTGATGATTGTTCTCGTGCTGTATGGATATATTTGTTGATGGACAAAACTGAAGTATTCAAAATGTTTATGATTTTTCTTGCTATGGTGGAGAGACAATTTTCTAAACAGGTACGCGTTGTGCGTAGTGACAATGGAACAGAATTTAATTGTTTGAAATTTTTTTTTCAAACTAGTGGGATTATCTTTCAAACCTCCTGCGTTGGGACACCGCAACAGAATGGGCGGGTCGAACGCAAGCATCAACACATTCTTAATGTGGCGAGGGCTTTGCGGTTTCAGGCTAATTTGCCTATTTCTTTTTGGGGTGAGTGTGTCCTCACTGCCGCCTATTTGATTAACCGCACACCGTTGTCTGTACTTCATTTTAAAACGCCTTATGATATTCTTTTTGGTCAACCACCTTGCTATGACCAGTTGCGCACCTTTGGATGTCTTTGCTATGCCTATAATTTGAAATCTAAAACTGATAAATTCGGTAGTCGCAGCCGCAAGTGTGTTTTTGTTGGGTATGTTTTTGGCAAAAAGGGATGGCATGTTTTTCACTACAAGAAAAAGGCTCATTTGCGAAGGGAAATTTGGTCGCAAAAACTTAAAAAATGGTCGCTAATGATTATTTGCGACCAAAAAATGTGGTCGCGCGACAGTCCCTATTGGCTTGGCCGCAAAAGACAATTTGCGACCAGAAAAAGTGGTCGGTCGCTAATGCTTTTTGGGACCAAATATAATCTGGCCGCTAAAAATGTTATTAAGGAGCATTTTTAGGAGCAATTGCGACCATGAAGCCCTTCGCTAAAGTAAAATTACACACATACTATTTATTAATTGCAACTGCTAAATTCATATAGAAATTGATTTTATAATGCATCTTACATAACGGGTGATCCGAAAATATACAACCATAATTTACAAATACTCTTCCAAAATACTCATTCACTATAAATTTTCAATCAATCACATTGTGCCAGTTTCCAAGTTATTAAGAAATGTTTTACACAAACCAAACAAACTATCTAAATAATATAGATGTAGCAGCCCATTTAAAATTCGGACACTTCATGGCTTTGTAACATCTTTAATCTTCTAATGCATTCACACTAGTTGTCAAAATCACCAGCTTTCAACTTGGCTTGATGATCATTCTTTATAGAAGATGGACTCTTTAAGTACCGTCTGCTCAATTCACCTCCAAAACCAGCCATATGATTATGTTGTTGTGACCATAACACTTCTCAATTACACCAACATGTGGCAGAGATGGATCGAACAACTCCTCTTCCTGAAAGATTTATTGAGTTGAATGAAATATAAAAAATTAATTAACAAGAAGAATCAGGTAATGGGCAGTTTAAGGCCTTATATCATATTCTTATTAACCATTGCATTCTGAAGAAACACAAAGACCCATTAAGTAATTGAGCCAACTGACTTCAATGTTCAAAACACCCTAACATAATTCATGTAAACATCTGCACTAAAAATATCATACCTAACCCCCAAACCTCCCTGCTTAGAGTTCACCTAAACTGCCCTGACCCTGAAAAAAGAATGGGATATAGCTTGAATGCATAGCGTGATCCATTAGCACTTCGATAGTCTAGTACAGAAGAATTATTAAATTTTCAAAAACATATACTCCGTATAAAACTGACAGCCTCTTGCATTCTTTTCCAATTGCAGCTTTGTTTACAAAATACTCCATACAAATCAGAATGAGCTATTAGCATAAACCATTACATATAAGCAATCTCGAACAACCAATTCAGAGATTGATATTTGATCCATGCATGCTTTCAGGAATATTCTCAGATCCAAATACATTTTCAAATTTGAATAATACTCCTTCCGTCCCCTTTTAAATGTTCCGTTTTACCATATTGGGATGTCCCTATTTAATTGTCTCATACCTTATTTGGTAAAGTTTGTATGACTCAAAATCATTCTTGCTTTATTCTGACTTTATCAATTAATATCAATCACACAAACCCACTTTTCTTAAAACTCGTGACACCCCCTTCCGTCCCAATATAAAAGGGACGGAGGTAGTAGAAGATAATGATGCGGTGAGACACAAGTTTAGAAACTGTAGTGTGGAGGCAAAAAAAAAAGTGCAAACTTGCAGCTTTTTACACTTTTATTCATGAAACTTTACATCCGTGTACTGGATATTAAAAGAATGCAACATGTAAATATAAAATAAATACTACTCAATCAAAAGTGCGTTAATAGATACAAAGTACAATACAAAAAGGCACACATAAATAAGCGATCAGAATTGGAAATATTGTTTCCAATTTCAGAAACTAGACACACATTTCAGGACATCTAACCAATAAATATTGACAAACGATAGTAACATTAGAAACATAGCGAACAATTTATGAAAGCAAAACAGGCATGGAACAAATTATTGGTAAGCTCATTGTCAAGGTAACTAGCAAATGAAAGGGGTAGCATGCAAGTGATGAGAGAAGGTGCAACATGTATTCACTCACTGGTGTTAAAACATAGGCAGTTTTTTACTTGAAGAACAAGAGAGAGATAGAGTGATCTGTGATCTGAAAATCTCACCTCAGGTCTAACAGAAGTGAGATTGTGTCGCCAAATTTATGCAGGTATATTAATTTCAATTGCATCATCATCAAAAACACCAACACCTTTGCTCTTTGAAAATTTTCCTACAAAAGGCATCACCATGTAAAACGAAAGTGAAATAAGAACAGATAAAAAAGAAAAACTATAGCAAGCCAAACTGTTTAAGAAAACCCAATCAAGTCAAGAAGGAACTTGCTCCAAATAAAAAGAAATGAGTTGCATACATCAAGTGAGAAAGGGCCCAATTTTTCCTGTGTACCAATTAGATATGAAGGAAAAAACTGAAGCAAGGGTGGTGGTTGGATAATTAACAATGTAACATCACAAAGATGTTTTCCATGTTTTTTGGGTGGAGGGCAGCATACTAAGTACATGATGAATGGAAGGAGACAAAATAAAATGCTTATCGTGTGATGGGGGACATTGTTTTTACCTATGAACTGGTGTAGCTCCACATTTTGTGGATTCTTCCACCACAACTCCAATTCAAGCATGTGCAGCTTTGTTATGGAGATATAATAGAGAGGAGCGTCAAACAAGACGCACATCAGCTAGCCAGCAAAATCAATGATCATTCGATCTATAAACATTTTTTTAACTTCTCTTTCAGTGGCCATTCTTTCCTCATCTGCAGAGCATTTGAAAGTTAGAAAAACATTACTTAAACAACTCTTTAACACTTTAGCATTGAAACAAAGTGCAACTCTCTTTGTCCAAACAGTTCAGTAAACAGCAATATATATAATAAAAATAAAAAATTAATCCCTAAAATATACAAAAGCAAATCACTGATTCATACATACCTGCTCTTGCTTTGCCAAGTCTCGACGCCCCTGCTCCTCTAGATCCCCAGAAAACCGCCCCACACCGTCTAACCTAGCACCGTCCCTCGAGCCTGAGAGCGCCATCACCAAAGAGCCTCTATCGCGGAAGACTGTCCTGAGTGGCTCACGAGCAGAAACAGTCTTTGCTAAAGTCGTCCGTCATTTACATGGAGCCGCATCACCCTTGTCGACCCAAACAACTCACCATCGGTAGGGAGACAGTCTGTCGGAAGGTATCATGCCGCCGCTTGATGTGGTCTCACCGTCTCTGTGGATGTAAGTTACAGATGTCCCGAATCTGAATTGAAGGGGCCAAAATGGAGAGTGGATTTCTTCACGTGTCTGCCCTCTCTCCTTCCATTTTCCAATTTAATCAGTTCATCGCTGCCCTCCCTTCGACTGGCTGCCGCGCCGGCAACAAGCCGCGTTGCCTAAGATCCGCAAGTTCCTTGGCGACGTGTGTGAGGGATGTAGGGTTTCTAAGTTCTAATCAGGAAACGAAATGTTTTTTGGGTGCTTAAATTTTTTGGGGTGTGGCGCTAAAAGTATATGTTTTAGGGACCAGAAGTAAGAGGAATAGGGAAGGTATTTTTACGCAGTCGCAAAAATGAAGCATTTTTTATGATTTTGCGACAATGAAACAAAGCAGTCGCTATTCATATATGTATTGCGACCATATTTCAAGGTGGTCGCAAATTCTTAGTCACAAAAACCTCTTTTTCTTGTAGTGTTTGACTTGGATACACATGAATACTTTGTATCTCGTGATGTTAAATTTCTTGAAGACCAGTTTCCTTTTGCGGATTCGCCACCCTCTTTGGCCTCGGATTCAGACGAACTTAGTGCCTCTCCTGCGATTTTGCCTGCAACGTATGATGATGTATTAGATGTGGCCTCCCCAGCCACGAATGTTCCTCCCGTGGACACTATCCCGGTTGATGTTCCTCCTGTTACTACCTCGGTTGATGTACCACCAGATATGTTGTCTCATGTGGAAGAAAATGTCCCTTTGGGTCGCGGTTTGCGTGCTAAGCAGTCTTCGGTCCGTCTAAAGGACTATGTTACTCATACAGTTATTCGACAGAATCCCATTTCTCCCTCTCCGACTCCATCAGCTTCCGCAGGTACACCGTTTCCTATTACACATTATGTCAGTTGTGATAATTTTTCTGCGCCACATCGTATGTTTCTTGCAGCTGTCTCCTCACACACAGAGCCTCAATCTTTTCGTGAGGCGGTTAAGCATCCCGAATGGCGTGAAGCCATGCAGGCAGAAATTCAAGCTCTTGAAAAAAATTCTACGTGGACCCTCACTCCTCTCCCTTCCGGAAAGCGGGCTTTAGGCTGTAGGTGGGTCTACAAAATTAAATATCATGCCGATGGACGTGTAGAGCGTCATAAGGCCCGATTGGTTATCTTTGGCAACCGCCAGGTTGCCGGGCTGGATTATACTGAGACTTTTGCTCCTGTTGCTAAAATGGTGACTGTGCGTGCATTCTTAGCTGTTGCTGCTTCTAAAAACTGGGAATTACATCAGTTGGATGTTCACAATGCCTTTCTTCATGGGGATCTTCATGAAGAGGTGTACATGACTT